AAGGAACACCAAGAGTCCTTCACTCGTCTCTTTCCTTTAGCAACATGCACTCTTTCAGATACCCAGTTTGGCCAGTTGTCCTCATTCCCAACTATCTGAAGAATGCACCCATTTTATGAGCCTGATTAATGTCTTATGTGATCAGAGTTCTTTGATTGTAAACAGAAAATAGCTCTCAATAATTTGGTCTGTGTGTGTGTGTGTGTGTGTGTGTGTGTGTGTGTGTGTGTGTGCATGCGTGTGTGTGTGCGTGTTCAAAAGCACACGGTGGCTCACAGAGGTAGGAATCCTAAAGTGCACAATTAATTGATTCAGCCCCAAGTAGCTTATGACACTGTGTACCTCATAACTAATCTGTCTCAGTCCCTCCCATGTCACCTTGTCACCTTGTCAATTCAATAGAAATACAAAAGTACTCTCTTTTTATAAAATAGATATCTAGTTTTATCTCTGTCCTATTTAAATTTCTTCAGTAGCTAATCAAGCCTTTCAAAATAAAACCCCTAAATCTCCAACATTCAGGAACTGGCATCTATTGGCCCAATCTCTGCCCATACATCTGCTGTCCTTCTACCTTACACATTACATTAGCTGGGGCCTATGAAACTACATTCAGTCTCCAAATGTACAATGCCCCCCCACATTTGGTGCTTGTACCAATAAGGGCAGTAAAATACAACCAAGATAGTGTAAATGAAAAACTACATCCAAAAGCATGGGAAGCATTCAGTAAGAAAAAAAGCGAGGGAGGACGCAGCTCTCACAGGCCAGCAGTGATGGAAGCCATTGCTACCACAGGCTGAAGAGACAAAGGGAGAAATCCTGACAACAGATCTGCCTAGAAAGGAGACCTGCCATTAGCCATTGTGTCGGGATGCGATGCAGCTACTCCAGAAGACCAGGCTGTCCACCTATATCTAGAATTCCTTTCATCTTTGTCTAATGTTCTGTCATGGGATTTCCCACACTGTTTAGCATTTGACTCACTTGTGTGACTTCTACATAATCAGAGATTTTTCCGACCTGACCATCCCAATGTGCACACACTGTAGGATCTGGCCTAGAGGGTACTCAACAGATGGTTGCTGAATTGATTTTTAAAGTAATTTTAAATTACTTTTACATGTCTCTAGGTAGACTCTGAAGTCAATAGGTTCATAGGCAACATAAGAGAAGCAGAATATTTCAGGTAGGGTTGGGGAGATGTTTTTAAATTTTAGTTTATTTTTATATGTATGTGCCTGAGGGTATGTTTGTGTATCACATACAGGAGCCCATGGAGGTCAAAAGTGGGTGTTAGGTGCCCTACAACTGGAGTTACTAGTGGTTGTGAGCTGCCACGTGGCTGCTGGGAATCTAACACAGGCTCCTCTCCGAGAGCAGTCACTTCTCTAAACCACTGAGCCATCTCTTCAGCCCCCAGAGATGTTTACTGAGGGAAGAAAGCCACCACTGTACTAGGTTCCCTCTGTCTGATTAGGAATCTCCTCCCTCAAGAAAACCACCTTCATTCAGTTACAGGAACAACAGTTTCTCTGACCTCTCACAGAAACAGGGGAGAACACTGTTTAACATAAGCCAGAAAGTGAGGGGTGGCATCCGCCTGCTCACTAGATGCAGGAGAGTCCCCAGACAGGAGGATAACTGGAACAAAGAAGAAGGAAAAATCAAGCTTCATTGAGAATGTACAGTCTTCCTTTGGCCTTGTCAGTGACTCATGGAAATGACAGTGAGACACAAGAAACAAAAGTAGGTTTGCCCACTGAGAGTAAATTTAAGCCAAGATGTAAGGCATGAAATTGAAGACGCAGAAATCTGATATCTCTTAGAACTATACAATTTGACAGGAGTCTGATTATCTTTCAAAATATATAATTTAGGGGCCTGGAGATATATAATTTAGGGGCCTGGAGATATGGCTAAGTGCTTGTTGAGTACTTGCTGCTCTCCCCAAAGGACTTAGTTCAGTTCCCCATACCCAGGTCCAGAGGCTCACAACCACCTATAACTTCAGTTCCAGAGGATCCAACGCCCTCTTCTGGCCTCCTTGGGTAACACACTCACATGGCACACATACACACAAATACAAATAAAAGTAAATCTTTTTTTTTTTTTGGTGGTGCACACTTTTTTATTGTATTTTTTTAATTTTATAATTTAATTTAATTTTATATATCAGCCACAGATTCCCCTGTCCTCCCTCCTCCCGCCCCCCTACCCTCTCTCCAGCCCACCCCCCATTCCCATCTCCTCCAGGGCAAGGACTCCCCTGGGGATTCAGCTCAACCTGGTAGATTCGGTTGAGGCAGGTCCAGTCCCCTCCTCCCAGGCTGAGCAAAGTGTCCCTGCATAGGCCCCAGGTTCCAAACAGCCAGCTCATGCACTAAGGACAGGTCCCGGTCCCACTGCCTGGGTGCCTCCCAAACAGTTCAAGCTAATCAACTGTCTCACTTATCCAGAGGGCCTGATCCAGTTGGGGGCTCCTGGTTGAGGAACTTAAGTAGGGTATGTCCATCCATCAACACCTGACTACCCCTGAAACACAGACAAGGCTTAACTTGTGAGCCTCAGATCCAAAGACTCACTAGCTCTTTGACCAAAGTGAATTCATTAAGATATAGACTGGATATATATAGATATAGGAGCCAGTATCAATTTCAGCTCTAATTTGAACTTTTATCATAAACTATAACACAATGGAGATTTTTTAATGAAAAAATTCAGGATCACAGCTCAAGGACAAATGTGGCATCCATAATCTTGCATTTCTTCCTCTATAAAATGGATGACTGTTAAGACAATCACTTGCCAGAAGTCTCCCTGAAAACATGGTAGTGCCATGAAAGGTGAGTGTTGTGTTGAGCCCCAACTAGCTTTTACCCCAAAGGAGTCTGAACATTATAAATACTGGCCCCTGGTTTTCTTTTTTATGCAGGAAAAAAATAAAACAAACAAAGGAAAAATCGGCTATCATAACTTCTGGCTGGAATAATTAAATGAGAACAGTTTTCAGCAGCAGGAAACCTTCAGACAACATAAGCATGGGGAGTCTCCAGTCAGACTAGCAGTGAACCCTGGAAAAACTGGAAACAGAGAAAGGGGGACTCAAGCAAATATGCAACTTAAAAGGTGAAAAGAACCCCAAATCTCAGAGAACTCCTCAAGGGAAGCGGGAGTTTTCAACTTCCGTGGCTGTGGAGGTTGCAAGGAGGGAGCTGTGGATGCAAACGGAAAGGACAAAGCCTTTCCACTGAGTCTGCACACACAGGAAAGACACAGAGAGAGAAGAAAGGGCTAAGAGCCTGAACTTGGACTAAAGTAAATCCTGTCAGCATGATTAAATATAAACAAAGGAACAGAGCAGAAGCAGAACCCAGGCTTGCACAGTGAATTTGCCTGGGCGCTCAGTAAAGGGATGCCAGTCCAGGAGCCTCATGTCAACTCCAAAGCACCAGACAGAAGCAAAAATGAAATGTGAGTAAACCCCAAAGGACCCCTAAGTCATCACCCACAATTCAACTCTCACTTCTTTGGCTCAAAGTCCAGACACAGATAACTGACTTTCTTGGACCCCAGTTTTCCTCTTTATAAAATGGTTCTTAATAATACCAACTCCTCTTACCTTGCAAGGTTGTAAGGTCAAATGACGCCACAAATGGGGGAAAGGTAAAGTATTTGATGTTCGGGGTAAGGACTCTACAAGTGTGTCCCCTTTGCAGAAGCGTGAGTGCTGTTAGATGAGCACTAGGCCTGGCTTTGGTTTTCTTCCCCCCAGAGCACACAGCTTTCTTCCTTCTTTTCTGTGGTCTAATGATGGCAACTCCCTACTCATGCTTTTCTTCCTCTCTCCTCAGAGTCCTGCCCAGCAACAACTAAATGCTAACTTTACAGGCTATGGGAGCCCAACCTGCTTCCTCATGCTGAACTGCCATCCCTGCTTCCCTATAAATCACACCACTCCCTAGAAACCTGGCCTGGTGCAGTGTCCTGGGAACATGGCACCTTGCTGCACCCAGGGGCAATGGAAAGAAGCACCTCCTTCCTGTGGCCAGGGGGAAATGTGCTCCTTAATAAGGATGGTTGGCAAGGGGTCTGTGCTGGTCCAGGCCCTTGTGGAACTTTGCAGGGCTCTTTATGCCTCACAGAGGTAGGCACAAAGGCAGCTGGGTCTTTAGATGGCACCTCAGAGGAGGCCTCACCCTGTCTGTGTTCCCTTTCATCCACTCAGGTAGTTGCCGTTGGCAGCTACTTGTCCTCTGTCCCAGCATGACAATGCTCTCCTACCCTCTGCCTCTGAAACAAGACATGAACAATGACAACACCAGTTGACCTGCCATCGCAGATGGGGAGATGTCACAAGACCCCACCCCTAAATGAAGAGCTACAGGCAATTAACAGCCATTGGGAGAGGGAGAATCAGTCTTTCCCAGGAATGAGTCCCCTGATAGGCTGACCCAAGTGGTCAGCCCTAAACACACACATACAAGCAATACTAAATGGACTTAACTGGTTGTATTCACACACACACACACACACAGAGAGAGAGAGAGGGAGGCCTGCCCTTGCCACCCCCATCCCCCTTATCCTGCTCTACTTCAGCCTTTTTCTATAACACTAGCACCTTTTGACCTGAACATATTCTACCTGTGCCTGCTTTATGGCTTGTTTTCTCTCTCTCCTGCTAGAACATAAGCTCCACCAACTATGGTTTGATGTAGGCCAAATACTCAGAACAGCCTGACAGCTCTCGATGTTCCAGAACTCTTGGTGTATGGGAGAGTGAACTGAAAATTTGCCTTACACTCTGGATGTCCTGGTCTGCCGGCCGCCCAGGACCTCCCCTGTAAACATGCACTCCTTGAGCCTTCTGCTCTGACCCCGTGCCACCGTAATCTAGCCTGTTGAAGTTTTCTGACTCCTCACTTCAACTCAAGCTTGGCTCCATGTTATGAATGTCATTCAGCCTGTAGCCCCTTCTCAGAGAGGTGGCTCATACTCACCTGAGGTCTTTCCATAGTGGCTCCTTCCCAACCACATTGTCCATTGTACAGCCAGGTCCCTGTCCGCTGTTTTCCTCTTTCAGATCTTCCTTATTTCTTTTCTTTGGGCACAGGCACTTAGAGACTGCCTGAGGAAGGGCAGTAGAGATGAAGAGAGAAGGAGTGAACTACACCAAGATTTCTCCTTATTTACCCCAAACCCTCCCACTTTATTCGATGCACAGGAGAAAATGACTCTATTGGGTCCTAGAGTCTATTCTATTTTATAAAACTAGTCAAGCTTGAGACAAGTGGGAATTGCAGGTTATAAAGAGAAACGGCACAAGATCCACTAGGAGCAGGTGGAAACTGGCTGTAGAGGAAAAGGGGTCCTGGTCAACAGGAACAGGAAATTAGTGCCCTGTCCAGCCTCACTGGTGTGCCTTCACCCACTTGGCTAAGAGATTTGCTAATTCCAACATTCATGCTGTGGACACAGATGGCAACCAACCAGCTAGCTGTCCCAGTACAAATAGTGACAACACTGTCTCCCTGGCCTTCCAAACAGAGCAGGAGCAAAGACAAATGCAACAGCCTTTTTCTACAATCTGAATAGCACACTTGCTCTGGGCCCATGCTAAGTGCCAGCTCTCCCCCTAAGGGCCTAATGTGCTGAAGCACTCCTACATTATAGATCAGTGGTTCTCAACCTGTGGGTCATGACCCTTTGGTGGGTCGAATGAACCTTTCATCAGGGTCACATATCAGATATCCTGCATATTGAATATTTACATTATGATTCACAACAGTAGCAAAATTAGTTTATGGAGTAGCAACGAAATAATTTTATGGTCGCCACATTGGACTTCTTCCCTCCACAGCTATTTTTCTGAGAAGAGGAATTTTTTTTTTTTTTGAACAGGCTTCTCTGTGTATCCCTGGTTGTCCTGAAATTCACTCTGTAGACCAGGCTGGTCTTGAACTCAGAGATCCACCAGCCTCTGCCTCCTGAGTGCTGGGATTAAAGGCGTGTGCTACCATGCCTGCACAGCTATTTTCCTAACACTGTGTTCATTTACAAATAGCGCAGGACCTCTGCATTCAGGACCAAACTGTACCCTGTATACAGAGCTGGCCCTGCAGCTGTCAGTGACAATGACGTCCTAGTTCACAAGTTGGTAGATATTAAAAAAACAAAAACTGTCAGGCAGTGGTGGCGCACACCTTTAATCCCAGCACTTGGGAGGCAGAGCCAGGCAGATCTCTGTGAGTTCGAGGCCAGCCTGGTCTACAGAGCGAGATCCAGGACAGGCACCAAAACTACACAGAGAAACCCTGTCTCGAAAAACAACAACAACAAAGAAAAAAAACACCTTCAACAACTGCTGCTGTCTTGGGAACCAGGCTCCTTCCTTCTTCTAATCTTGTGAAGGTGAGAAAAGCCCCCACAGCTCAGCAGCCCGGGTGGTCACCAGGTGTTCCCACTGAGTGGGGCTCTTTCTAGAACCACCTGCTACAGGAAAATCAAGTAGTCGAGGATACTCTCCCTTAGGAATAAGTTTCTATGTTGTAAATACCAGCACACCATTTACTTCTCCTATCCAAAAATAGAACTTTTGTTCAGTTCAACTCATTCTCCTTCAAAAAGAAACTGCATTTGAATAAAAGCTGAAGTGTCACCAGCAGCTCTGAGGTACAGGCACACTGAAGTTCCTCTCAGATGAAGGCTGAGGGCACGTGGCAAGGTTGCTTCCTCCCTAAAGCTTCAAAGCAGGTTCACTGCAGGATACTCCTTGAGATTCAACCATATTCCTCTAATCTGTAGCCTTCTATGAAGGGGACACTGTCCTCCTCTAGATATTTGGACAGTAGGTGTCTCAGGGTTTCTAAACATGATAAAACACCACGATCAAAAGCAACTGTGGAAGGAAAGAGTTTATTTCATCCTACAGCTTGTAGTCCATCACTGAGAGAAGCCAGAACAGTAACCTGGAGGCAGGAGCTGATGCAGAAGCCATGGAGAGAGCTGCTTACTGGCTGGCTCCACACGGCTTGCTCTGTCTGCTTTCTCATAGAACCCAGGACCATCAGCCCAGGGGTGGCCCCACTCAGAGAGTTGAACCATTAGCCATTGTGTGATAGGATCTCTAGCCACGCCCCATGACCGCATGGGCTGGCAAGATGCTTAGTCATTTCCAGGGCCTTACGTCCTACGTACTCTGTGCGGGTGCTGTGTGGTCACATAATCTATGCGCATGTGTGGCGTAGCTACGTAAGTCCATATGCACATGTGTTGGGGGGGGATCCATAAAAGGTGGATCCCACGTACCCTCCCCCCTCTTTCCACACAGGTCTTCCATATAGACCTAAGCACGTTCTTTTCTGACCCTTCTAATAAACTCTTATAGTGGGTCTTGTTGTGCCTCGTGACTTTTTCTCGTAGGGTAGACAGTGCTGCATAAAACTAACATTGTACACAGGCCAATCTGGTGGGGGCATTTTATCAATTGAGGCTTCCTCATCCAAAATGACTCTAGCTTGTCTTGCACTGACATAAAACTAGTTAGCACAATATGTAAAATAGGGATTCTCAGAAGCGTATGGTCTTGTCCCTATGTGTACCTGAATCATCTAAGGATATCTAAGCCCATCTCAAATCTATTGCTATGATTTGAATATTTCTTTCACATTGGGAATAATCTCTACTATTGTGTGTTAGTGGTACTTCAGAAGTGAGACCTTTGGGAGGTAGCTGGGCCACAAACACTTTGCCCTTGCAAACTAATGCATTTGCATTATCAATGTATAAAAGGTTTATCTATCTTAAGAACCCCTTTGTAAAAGTGAGCTCTCTGGCTCCCTCACACCCATGCTGCCATGCCTTGCCCTAAAGTGCCTCAGGATTAAGCAGAGAACACCACATTGAGAAAGTCCTCTGTTGACCATGGACCCTCCCAGTGGCTGGTACCATGAGTTGAATAAACCTTATTCATTACAAATTACCAAATACGTAGATAGTGATAGTAACACTAAATGGACTGAGATGCCAACTAAGTCAGACTCTGTGGAGGTAGGATCTGGGAAACTGAATTTGGTAGATTTAGGGGATTCTGAGGCAGATTGGGGTTTGGCAGTCACTGGATTTGATAATTAAAGATTTTTAACTCCTTTTTAGGAAAGTGTGACCCAAGTGGGATGAAAACTGTTTCAGACAGATTTTTTTCAAGTGCTTTCCTGCAACAGTATTAACAATCAGCCCCGGGGAGATGCAGATCCATCACAGAACAAAAGGTCTCCAAGCAGAATGGTGGCAACCAGCTCACTTTTTAAATGTCTCCCCGCCTTGCTAATAATGGTGGCTGCTGCTTAATGGGTGTTTGCTCTGAACAAAAGGAGCAGAGAGATGAGGTGTGCAGGTGAATCTACCGTTGCCATGGAAACCGCAGCGACTGTCTCCAGAGAGGATCCCCTCATGGGCAATCCTGCCATTCCATTTCGAAAGTCCCCATTTCGTTACTTCAGATTAGGCCTTCTTGGTGCACGACTCTGACGGTCTGTAAATAGGGAATGATAGTTTTCCACCAGTCCAGTTTCTTCCTTAGTGTGTCTTTCAAAAGCATTCTGGTATAATCCAAACAGGGTGGAAATTTTTCTCATCTTGGCAAAAATCTCATGTGTGGTGTATAGAGGAATAAGAAGATGGGGTGAGTTTGGAGTTGAAACAACCCATTTGTCCCCCTTCTTCCCCTTCTTAATTAGTAAGCCCAGTAAAAATGCACCTGCATCAGGATTTTAATTAAGTTAATATTTTTAACATATTGTTTTATTCTGTTAAGAGAGAAAACTTTGGTATCACGTTTCTGTCCCAGACACCTTCATGCTCATGTTGAACGTGCCACACCTAGTGACTCTGTGCCTTATGGAATAAACAGAGCGTTTCATCCTTGCTCCCAAATGGTCAAACAACAGCAATTAGATGCACGTGTTTATCCCTAGGGAACAAGGCCCAGTGGGTCACGTCCTTTGCAAGAGAGCTTCCCACACTCCTGACCAGGCCTTGCCTTTCTGAGCTCTGAAACCCAATGCTTCCTGAGCGTATCTATCACCTCCCTCCCCAGAGTGGGGCAGCACACACCCACTAATCTCTTGAACTAAACACCAGATTTCTTTTATATCTGCAATATCTGTTCTCAGAGGAACACGCACTCATGCACTGTATAACCACTCCCTTCCCTCTCTGAGAGAAAGACAAACCAAAAGAGGAAGCTAAATAATATAGTGGTCAAAGTGCTATTTCATTCATTTATGATGGGGGAAAACTCTCTGATTAAAAAAAAAAAAGAAGACTAAATGTGACAGATCCATGCCCACGGGCTGCACTGTGGAGGCAATCTGGTAATAAACAGATGAGTGGAGGGAACTAAATCAGGACAAAGAGAGTCAATGCCGAGAGGCTCAGGATTAGCCTAGGGTTGGTTTAGCTGTCAGGCGGCAATTATTCCCTCTCCCCTGATAATGTTTTGGAGGACCATGCCAAAGCCGTGTGCCTCACTTCTCTATGCTTCCATGCCGGTCACCATGGCTCTGATTTCCACACTTGATCTTTGCAGTGTGATGACAATTGTCCTTTAAATGGCTTTGTATCTTCTGCATTCTATGTAATGTTGTGTTGAGGTGACAGTTTCACTCTGTGCCAGTTATGTTAATTTCTCTAGAACATCTTTTCTAAAGCTCCCCATAGGTAAGCAATATTGCTGAGTGCAGTGTTCTGTTTCCTCAGATTGCAAGGGATTCACTTGTACTTGGGAAGACAGAATACTCCTATTCCATCCCTTCCTTAGCATGGGTTTGGGACCAATTGGACCAGAAGCAAGACTGAGCCCCTTTCAGATGCCATTGCTAGGATGTCATTGGTCGCTTTAGGGATGCCTTTTTACTAATTGGGCTTGTCTTCTCTAGTTATCATTCATCTGACATCAGTTAGCCATTGAGTGAATACTTGTGTCCTGACTAGTTAAGAAATCTGATTCTCAATTTGTTCTGTTACATTTTTATTTGTTAGACTGAACATCTATTTCATGAATGTAATTTTGTACATAATTTATTCATTTTGAAGAAGATTCTAGCAAAGCAAAAGAAAAGGGAGAGT